AGAGGAAAGGGAATTAAATAACCCGCACATAGAAGAGAGGAGCTTACGACGACGTTTTCTGTCCAACTTTGACCATTTCACCTACATATATCTTGTCACAGCCTCCACAAAGTATGTTGTAAACTCCTGCTTTGACTGGTTCATGGTGGTTTGATTTTGTCCTGGTTAGATCCCTTATGGCAGTGCTGGATGTGATGGCGACTCTATTGTTAGTTTGTGCGAGTAACTTGGAAACGTTCAATGCAATGAAAGAGCTCTTCAGATCATAAATTCTCCACACACCAACACCATTCCTAACAAAGTTATAATCCTTCCTAAATACTCGCACAAACTAACACTAGAGTCTGATTGCCTCATCTTCTGTACATAGTTCTACTGTTTTCAAGTTATGTCCTGGAATTTGTATTGATAAAGTCACTGGAAGGCGAAACTTCTACAATAAAGATACCCAGATGTTGCACGTGTTTTAATTTCATCTTGTCGGTATTGTATACCATTCTTGTACAAATGTGTCTTATTTATCAATTGCAAGTTCAGTTTTGCTTTTTCTTCACCGTCTTGAATATGTGTATCATTGTCTTATTATTCTGATTATAATTACTCTCCTTCCTCGGCCTTCTGTTGTTTGGTCGTGAATTAGAGATTACTGCTACTATTTTGTCTCTCGGGTCTTCGCAGTGTGTGTATTTGTGAGCGTGTGTGTGTGTGTGTATGTGTGCTCACCTATTTGTGGTTGCAGGGGTGGATTCACAGCTCCTGGCCCCGCCTCTTCACTGATTGCTACTAGGTCCACTCTCTCTCCCTGCTCAAAGAGCTTTATCACACCTCTTCTTAAAGCTATGCACGGATCCTGCCTCCACTACTTCAGTCTCCAGATCTCTCCACTTTCTGACAACTCTAAGGCTGACAAAATATTTCCTAACATCCTTATGACTCATCCGGGACTAATCTTGTTGTAAACTTTTTCATTTTCTCCAGTTTCTTGAAGTGTTTGAACAGGAGTGGGATCCATATTGGTGCTGCATAATCCAATATAAGTCTGACGTACACAGAGTACAATGTAGTGAACGACTCCTTACTTAGATGTCAAAACGCTTTTCATAGGCACTCATAGGCTGCAATGGTTATTAGGTTGATGTGCACCACAGGATATTTGCTCGTTATGAGGCTCACCCCAAGATCCTTATCACTGAGTGACTTTTGCAGCCTTTGGTCCCCTGGACTGTACTCCGTCTGCGGTCTTCTTTGTTCTTTCCCTAAAATTCATGACTTTACAATTTGTGGGCCATTTGTGGGACTAGGCTTGCAGACTGTCCAGATCCCCCTGTAGTTCTTACCTGATCCTCGTTCACTTGTATTCTCATCATTAGTTTCGTATCGTCTGTGAACAGGGACATCTCACATATACAAGTCGCAGCATGGAACTTAGGACTGACCCTTGTGGAACCTCACTCGCCACATGCGTCCACTCCTCGTCACGTACGTGTGTGATGCACTCTCCGAATTGTACTCGCCTAATTGTGGTTGCAAGGGTTGATTCACAGCTCCTGGCCCCGCCTCTTCACTGGTCGCTACTAGGTCACTCTTCCTGCCCCATGAGCTTTATCATACCTCTTCTTAAATCTATGTATGCATACTGCCTCCACTACATCCATTCCCAGACTATTCCACTTCCTGACAACTCTGTGACAAAAGGACTACTTCCTAATATTCCTGTGATTCATTTGAGTCTTCAGTTCCCATCTGTGACCCCTTGTTGCTGTGTCCCATCTCTGGAACAACCTGTCTCTGTCCACCTTGTCGAATCCTCGTAGTATTTTATATGTCGTTATCATATCTCCCCTATCTCTCCTGTCTTCCAGCATCGTCAGATCAGTTTCCCTTAACCTTTCCTCGTAGGACATACCCCTTAGCTCCGGGACTAATCATGTTGCAAACATCTGCACTTTCTCAAGTTTAAGTGTGGATTCCAGACTGGTGCTGAGTACTCCAACATGGGCCTAACGTACACATTGTATAGGGTTGTGTGTGTGTGTGTACTCACTCAATTGTACTCACCTAATTGTGGTTGCAGGGGTCGATACTCAGCTCCTGGCCCTCCTCTTCACTGATTGCTACTAGGTCCTCTCTCCCTTTGCTCCCTGAGCTTTGTCATACCTCGTCTTAAAGCTATGTATGGTTCCTGCCTCCACTACATCACTTGCTAGGCTATTCCACTTCCTGACAACTCTATGACTGAAGAAATACTTCCTAACATCCCTGTGACTCGTCTGAATCTTCAGCTTCCAATTGTGACCCCTTATTTCTGTGCCTCTTCTCTGGAACATCCTGTCTCTGTCCACCTTATCTATTCCACGCAGTATTTTGTATGTCGTTATCATGTCTTCCCTGACCCTCATATCTCTTAATCTTTCTTCGTAGGACATTCCCCTGAGCTCCGGAACTAGCCTTGTTGCAAACCTTCTGTACTTTCTTTAATTTCTTGACGTGCTTGACCAGGTGTGGGTTCCAAACTGGTGTTGCATACTCCAGTATGGGCCTGACGTACACAGTGTATAGTGTCTTGAACGATTCCTTACTAAGGTATCGGAATGCTGTTCTCAGGTTTGCCAGGCGCCCATATGCTGCATGTGTGTGTGTGTACTCACCTAATTGCACTCACCTAATTGTGGTTGCAGGGGTCGAGACTCAGCTCCTGGCCTCGCCTCTTCACCGACCGCTACTAGGTCCTCCCTCTCCCTGCTCCATGAACTTTATCATACCTCGTCTTAAAACTATGTATAGTTCCTGCCTCCACTACATCGCTTGCCAGACTATTCCACTTCCTAACTACTCTATGACTGAAGAAATACTTCCTAGCATCCCTTTGACTCATCTGAGTCTTCATCTTCCAATTGTGACCCCTTGTTCCTGTGTCCCACTTCTGGAACATCCTGTCTCTGTCCCCCTTGTCTATTCTACGCAGTATTTTGTATGTCGCTACCATGTCTCCCCTGACATTCCTGTCCTCCAGTGTCTGACGACACTGGAGGACATTCCCCTTAGCTCTGGAACATAGGACATTCCCCTAAGCTCTGGAACTAGCCTTGTTGCAAACCTTTTCACTTTCTTTAATTTCTTGACGTGTTTGACCAGGTGTGGGTTCCAAACTGGTGCTGCGTACTCCAGTATAGGCCTGACGTACACAGTGTATAAAGTCTTGAACGATTCCTTACAGACGTACCGGAACGCTATTCTCAGGTTTGCCAAGCGCCCATATGTCACAGCAGTTATTTGGTTAATGTGTGCTTCTGGCGATGTACTCGGTATTATACTCACTCCTAGGTCTCTCTACTTGAGCGAGGTTTGCAGCTTTTGGCTTCCTAGCCTATACTCTGTCTGCGGTCTTCTTTGCCCTCCTCCGATCTTCATGACTTTGCATTTGGCATGGTTAAATTCTAGAAGCAGTTTCTGGACCATGCACCCAGCCTGTCCAGGTCTCTTTGTAGACCTGTCTGGTCCGCGTCTGATTTAATTCTCCTTATTAACTTCACATCATCTGCAAACAGGGACACTTCTGAGTATATCCCTTCCGTCATGTCGTTCACATATACCAAGAATAGCACTGTTCCCAGGACTGACCCCTGTGGGACCCCGCTCGTCACAGGCGCCCACTGTAATGCCTCCCTGTTAGGTATTCTCTGATCCATTGCAGTGCCCTTCCTGTTATACGTGCCTGTTCCTCTAGCTTCTGTACTAATCTCTTGTAAGGAACTGCGTCGAAGGCTTTCTTGCAGTCCAAGAAAATGCAATCAAGCCACCCCTCCCTCTCATTTCTTACTTCAGTTACCTTGTCAAAAAAACTCTAGTAGGTTTGTGACACAGAATTTGCCTTTCATGAATCTGTGCTGGCTGTCGTTTATAATCTTGTTCTGCTCCAGGTGCTCCACCATCCTCGTGATAATCTTTTCCAAACTTTGCGTACTATACACGTCAGTGACATTGGTCTATAATTTAGTGCTTTATTTCTGTCTCCTTTCTTAAAGATGGGGACTACATTTGCTTTCTTCCTATACTTCAGGTAGTTGCCCAGTTTCAAGGGAAGTGTTGAAGATTTTGGTTAGTGGCACATGTAGTGTCCCTGCTCCCTCTCTAAGGACCCGCGGATAGATGTCCGGTCTCACCGCCTTTGAGGTATCAAGGTTACTTAGGAGCTTCTCCACCTCCTCCTCAGTTGTGTGTAATTCATCCAACACTTGTTGGTATATCCCTTGTTGATGTACCCCACTGTTTTGTCTTCCCAGTGTCCCTTCAGCCTCCACTGTAAATACTTCCTGAAATCTCATGTTGAGGTCCTCACATATTTCCTGGTCATTTCTTATGAGCTCCCCACCTACTTTCCTCAGCCTGATTACCTGGTCCTTGACTGTTGTCTTCCTCCTGATGTGGCTGTTGAGTAGTTTCGGGTCAGACTTGACTTTGAATGCTATGTCATTTTCATACTGCCGCTGCGCCTCCTTCCTTATCTGTGCATACTCGTTTCTGGCTCGTCGACTTATCTCTTTATTTTCCTGAGTTCTTTGCCTATTGTACTTTTTCCATTCTCTAGAGCACTTAGTTTTTGCCTCCCTGCACGTTCGGGTAAACCAAGGGCTCGTTCTGTCCTTTCCATTATTTCTGTTACCCTTGGGAACAAACCTTTCCTCTGCCTCCTTGCATTTTGTTGTTACAAAGTCCATCATTTCGGTTACTGATTTTCCTACCAACTCCTGTTCCCACTGAACCTCCTACAGGAAGGTCCTCATTCCTGTGTAGTCCCCCCTTTTATAGTTTAGCTTTTCCCTTTCTACTCCTGTTACCCTCTCCACTTGTGTGTGTGTATGTGTGTGTGTGTATGTGTGTGTGTGTATGTGTGTGTGTGTGTGTGTGTGTGTGTGGTGTGTGTGTGTGTGTGTATGTGTGTGTGTGTGTGTGTAGGTGTGTGTATGTACGTAGGTGTGTATGTGTTTGTCAATACTCACCTTGTTAAAGCATCGGTGTGGCCCATACTTGCCCTGGTTGTAGAGAAGTAGTAGCAGCTGGTGCCGTTATAGGACAAGACGAAGTTACTCGGACACACCACTGTCAGGTCACATCAATTAAAATTAATTAATTATAGTACATCTGAATAGCAACATCCCCATATCTTTCAAGGTCAAGTTACTGTCCATCTTATATTTATACTTACATCAACCTGGTTAATCATCTTCTGCTGCATTCTCTGTATACGATAACATAATCTCAATAAACCCTCCTCTATCTTCTAAATTATACTTTTGTTAATCATACACCGTTTTGTAATTCTTATGGTCCTTATTCTTTCCATGACCCTCACAACAAGCGTATCAAGGAGTTTGATATGGTGGAGTGTTTATCGGTGCCCCATGGCCTGGTGGCTATAGCTCTCACTTCACAAAGCGAGGGTCTGGGTTTGATTCCCAGCGATGGTAAAAACACTGGGCATGTTTCTTTACGCCAGTTGCCTATGTTCCCAGTCAGTAAAATGGGTACCTGGGAGTTAGTGGACTGGTGTGGGTTGCATCCTGGGACAAAACTAACCAAATTTGTCCAAAATATAGAAGTCATTGATATCAGCTAGTCTTGTTTACCTTGATCATGTACTTGTAGAAATAAAGACATCTTTGTTATTATTAAAAATTTTTATTGTTATATAATAATAATAATAATAATAATAATAATAATAAATAATAATAATAATAATAATAAACCAAATAATGTAACCATAGCAGCAACGGGGAAACGCCTAATTCCTAGGAAAAATATGCAGATCACATTAGCGAAGCGAAAGGATTATTTAGGTACTTCCAAGCATTATGGTGGAAGGAAAGTTGGCCTTTTGAAGAGAACGCATGGAAAGTTGCCTCGAACGGAGGAGGGACGAGAAGAGGAACAGTAGGAATGATGTACAAAGGACTCGAAGTGCTCCTCGACCCCAGATATTATATGCTTCGAATCTGTACATTCAACTAACAAAGCATTTTTTTAGATTTAATGTTTCGGCTCTACAAATCTCTTTGAGCTGGATTAATTTCCCCTATACTGGAAATTCTCCTGGATCATAGCAACTTCTCTTAAGCAAATGAAAATAAAACTTTCGTGAACAAAAATAATTTATGAGTGGAACAAGAAATAACTTACGGACACATGGGAAGACTGTGTCCCATTTCAGTGGACTCCCGTTGCTGGCTGGTACACAGGTGACCTGTCCTGCGGGAGACTTGGTACCGTCCACCTTCCTCGCCATCATGAGGTCTCCGACACAGTTGTAGGGGAAGGTGGTGTTCGGTGCTCGACTCAGGGGCACCACAGACTCATCCGGCAGATTGAAAGTGTTCATCGGGGGGCAGGCCAAAG